GGACGATCATTACACCGTGACACCTTAATGGGAAATCACAATCTCAACGCCTTACCGGATCGGCATGTGAATGGCTTCTTATAAGAAACAGCACATGGTTGGTTACGGTGCAAGATACCATACTAATACTATTCAACCACTTTCACCTGGGGTTGAACCGGTATCTTGTGATCTGACCTGTGGAGCACTAACCACTGTGCTATGGACCCACAGGTTTTTATTTTATTTATTTTATTTTAAATACTTTATATTTATTATTATATAAAAAATATTATTATATAATATCACATAATTATATATTTTTAAACACATAATTTATATTTTATTATCATATAAAATCAGTAATCCTGGCTTGAAAGTACTATCACAAACATATATGACTAATGAAGAAGGATTATACACCTGCAAATAAGTTCCTATCAGTTTATCCACCTGCCTGGACCACAGGATTTCAACTTATAATAGACCCAAGGTTCTTATGAAACTTGAAAAATGCATTCACTTGATAGGCCCAACTAGCTTATTTATCTGCCTTAAACTGAAGATTGTTTACTTATGGTGGATCCAAGGTTCTTATGGAGCTTGGGAAATACTTTCACTAGTGGTTCACTTCTGAAGTTCCAAACCTAGGAAGAATATAGTAGAGGGTGTTTTTTCGACAGGTTTCTTTTTTCCAGTAAGGTGTTTTTGCCATAAACCAAATAGGTAAAGTTTTGTTTATTTTGTCATTGAAATATACAAAATTTTTAGAAAAAGGAAAAGTAGACAAGTGGAATAGGCATTAGCCTTCAAGAAGTAAGGTTTTTTAAAGAAAGTGTATAGACTTTATTATCAAAAATAAAAATATTTTTAAGAACAACTGTTTTTTTTGAGTTGGCAAGGGGATCAGCAGAAAGAGTTTTTTTTTAGTTAATCTAATTAATCAATTAATTAATTAAGATAAAAATATATTTAAATATATTATATTTAGAGATAGAAAAATAAAAATATATAAAAAATTTTTTTAAATATAGTAAAATAATATTATTATATTGTATAAAAATTTCTTTTTATTTACTTCAATTTTTTAAAAAAAATTTTAAAAAACATAATCTTATAACTATATAGTCAAATGATATTAATCTCTATTATTTGTTACATTAGGTGATTTGTTGTATATAACAAGATATAATATATTATTATATAAAAATATATATTTTTATTTCAAATAATAATTTATCAAATATTAAAAAAAATGAATTTATTAAAAAAATTTAAAGAATAATAATAAATTTATAAGTGTTTATATAAAAAATATTGTTTAATAAAACATTATATAATTTTATAAATTATTTTACTTATAGACCTACCCGGTTATAGTCCAGTAGGCTAAGGCAAGGTAGGACTAACCTATGATCCACAATTCAATTCCAGCTGGAGAACAATTCACATATCCCAAATAGAGACTTTGTGTCACTGCTCCTGTAACTCGTAATAGAGAGTGATTTGGATTGTTCTGATGATCAAGGAGCCTTATGGGCAGACTACATCCCATAGGTCGAAAAAGATAGATGATGTGATTGGTAAACTTTCATATCAAGTATTGCCCAGGAAATACTTCCAAAAGGATAAAAAAGTTTTATGAGATCTTTCCGGTAGCGGAAAAGAAAGATACAGATGGCTAAAACCATTAGTTGCACAACTATCAGTAAGAGTTTCACATATATAATGGTAGCGAGGATCCAGTTGGGGTGCAGGAGGTTGCTAGTATTATGGAATGTTCTATTCTAAGGGGTACATTTGCGATGGTTAACTGCATGATCCCATAAAATGTAATCTTCCATATGTGTTACTAGGTTAGATTAGGAAGAGTAAGGCTGGATCCGATTTTCAGATGGATTTGATGTACTGGTGTACCCTCATTCTGCCAATAATATCTCACTGACTAAATCCTAGTAAGTTTTGGCTAAACTGAACAGTTAAAAAACAGTAGTGATGGCTGTTGGCAAAAATCATCAAGTCGATAAGGATACATCGGCTTGTTTATAGCAAATTCAATCACCTTCACATTTATACTTAGAGACTTAGGCCTAAGACAAATAGTTAGAAATTACTAATCTGTGACCATGCACCCTGGAGAAACACCAGAAGGCATGTAAAGTATACTGATAGATTCTTGAGTTGACGTTGAAAAAAAAAATAATAAATTATTTACTTATTTTTTAATAATTTTATTTAATAATTTTTTGTTAATATATAGAATTTTTCACTATTTTTATTGCTGAAGTAATAAAATATTACATATTATTTATATATGTTAAATGTTAGTATTATAGACTATATAAGATATTTTTAAATTATTTTACTATTTATAAATATTTTTATAAAATATTTTTTTATATAGTAAAATGGTATTAGATACAGGACTTTTATTGAATAACCATCAATTTTTACATTATATTAAACATTATTTATTGTTATTATAACAACTAAATGCTAGTCTATCTACTTTTATTACTTTAGCAATACTAGTGACACTCATAAAGTGGATTTATATTTTTGGGAGAACCTATCTAGAGGATGGAAATCCTATCACTAGTTTTAAACTATCTAATCTACTGGTTTAATTTTATATAAGGGCAGTGAATACTGTTAACTATTTCTTAAGATTGCTTATTACATCACATTTTTTTTGCTTATATAGCTAATGTGGCAAAGGATTTCCAACATGATGTGTTCTCTAATAAATTGTTTTGATTTTGATCACTGGTTAACTTTAAGCTATCAAATCTAGGGACTTTTATGACCAAGTAGGATGCGACTTCTTGAAAAATTTCTTAATCTTCTAATAGACACTTTAGTTTCAGACCAGTTGGCTTAAGTTGTCAAATCTAGAGGTATAAATATTAAACAGGATGCAACTCCTCACTTAAACTGTTAGGGCAAGAAAACCATGTTGTACAAAAATAGTATTGATACAATGTTCTTCTTCAAAGCTTTCTTATTTGTTAGTCAGCAGGAAAGGAAAGTGTTATATGGGTTTGATAAGATAGAGTATAGCCCAATCTATACATCCAAATGAATAGTTATAGTTGATAGTTAATAAGAATTAGTTAAGATGAAGTACAGCCTAGTCTATACATCCAAATGTGTAATGACATCTTATGTTAGATAACTATTATAATATTAATCAGATGATTGTCACACCACTACACCTTAACAGGAAGATCACAATTTCAATGTCCACTGAATCAGCATGTGAAATGGCTTTATATAAAAAACAACATGCAATTGGTTATAATATCAAATACCATGATAATTCTATTCAATCATCTTTATATAGGATTGAACTGATATCTTGTAATCTGATTTGTGGAGCACTAATCACTGTCTATAATTTACGATCATTTATAAAATATTCTATTATAAAAAAAAAGAAAACATATAATTAATTAATAAAATTTTAAAATTTAATAATATACTATGTATATAAATTGTGATTAATTGCAATTTTACATTAAAATAATCAATTAATTAATTTCTTCTGCATACTATTCTATTGTTATAAATAATATAAAAAAAAATTTTAAGATATATTAGTAAGTTGATTAACCAAAACTTACACAAAAAATTATGTCCTTTTTTAATTCAGTTATTTGATATTGTTTTAATATTACAAATGTCATAAAAATTATTATTATTATTAATTTAATTTAATTAAATTGATAAATAAGATAAAATATAATTAATATCCAGTATTGAAAATAATTAATGAAATAAACAGATTACAGTTTTTAAATATTACAAATAATTTGATAAGAATTAGTAAAGAATCAAAAAACGTGAAAATTATACATTAATTGCTATATATGTCATAAAATAGAATTAAATATTTTAAAAAACCGTGTTATAATAAAATTAGTAACATATAACAATAATTGGAGTTTACATTTAATTCAAAATTATATTAATTAAATTTTCTTTTATGATAATATGAACACGTATACTAATTACTATTAACAAATATTGTTTTATGAATAAATATTTAATATTGTTTGAATTAAATAACTGTAATATTATGTTTTTTTTAAGTAAAAATAGAAAGATAGGAAAAATATTTATTATTAGAGGCTCATTAGAAATCAGAAGTTTTTCAAACATGATATTCCTTCTTAAAAGAGTCAGTTAAATCTGAATATTGTAATTTAGATCTTGAGTTGTACTTTTTCATTTTTCAAAGAAAGAATCCTTTTAATTTCTGGACTGATTAATTCTTACTGCAACTCTCAAAAAAAATTTTTTTTAATTTTAAAATAAAATTTTTAATAAATGATTGATTATATATCATTTTTTTACATTAATGAAAAATACGCCATTTTAAAAAGCTTATATTCAAATTAAAATTTAATAATAATGTTATAAAATCTTAGATATATACAGTATGTATGATTTCATTTTTTAATTATTTATTAAATTAAAAGTCAATAAAAATCTGAAATAGTTTACAATAGACTGTATATGTAATAGTTTTAAAACAAATAACTTAATATAAAATAGGAAGGTTTCTACAAAAAGTATATTGAATCTTTGAGGTATACTAGTTGGATTTGTCATTTGCCGAACGCCATAGTACGCGGTGATGACCACACGATATTAGTCGAATAATACATATTATTAGTTAAGTGAAAATATAAAATTTTATTTATTATATTTGAAAAAGCAATAACAGCATAAAGTACATAGATGCGATTCCGCTCTTTATCTTGTAGTATATGTTTACAATTATATCAGATTTTGCTACTAAAATCTCTCAGAATCAGAAGAAAACCGTTTTGCGTCAAAGTTAAAGCAGCACTACCATATTTATCAACCAAAAAGCTCTGCAAAATATCTGATCCTTCTCCAATGATAAATTTGAAGTGTCTAACTCTTTTTTCGACAACTTTCTGTGCCAAGACAAATCCTTCTAGAATTGATAGTAACTTTTTATTCTCGTTACTCTTAACATTGATCTCCAAAATCACTATTGGATGCTCATTATTTTCGCATTTAATGATAAGAAAAGTTTCTGATTCTTTTTTTATTGCAATAACAACTGCCACACCTAAAGCGCCACCTAAACATGCGGCAGTTCCTCTAAAACCTAAACCGGAGGCACCAACAGATTGTAAAGTTGACACAGGACCACCTGCGGGGACATATCCACGGTGTAATGACATCATCCATGCTGCAATGGATCCGGCTGTAATACCGGCTTTAGTAAATCCTAATTTTGTTACTGCCTTAGCAAATACATATGGGCTTAAAAGAACACTCCCAGTAACTGCGGTGAATTTTATAAACCCATCCTTCGTCAAGTAAATAGAAATGAACACTTTAAAGAAGTCTTCAAGGAGAATATTAGAGAAATTTGTCATTCTTGTGAAGTTTTTACTGCTCAAATTATTTTCAAAAATCAAATTGAATGCTTTGCTTAAATAGATTTTTTATTCACTGTGTCAATGTAATAGGTCGAAGAATAGAACAAAAACAATGTTTGTTTCACTCATGTTATTTTTATTAATAATTAGGATTAATATTGACAATGGGCGTTACAATCATACATAATTATCGCTGATCAGTTCTGTCTTTAATCAAATATCGTGTAATTTTTACCGATCAAATGAGAAATGTTAATTGATAATCTTTTATATTTTTCATATACAGTGCTCTAGCTGTTTAAACATAAAATATTAAAAAAAATTATTATTATAAGAACAAATTTAAGAAAATAATATAGTTATAAATTTATTAATTAAAATTGATAATAGTGTAAGAGAACAATTGAGTTTTCTCTAGGTATGGAATTTAATTTTCAAAATTGAGACATGAAGAGATTTGGTCTGAATTTCTAATAAATCCAATAATACTTATTACTAAAAAAACAATTACTATATATATATGTAGTATTTATATATAAAATAATTTTAATTTCAAGTAACTATTCAAACTATTATTAACACTTCTACAGAGGTGGGACAAAAGTTTCTGAATAGTTTTTTAAACCCTGATTTATTCATGTTTCTATAATAAATAAAGCTATATTTAACATATAAATTAACTACATAATAGACTGACATATAATTACTAATAAATGCGAAGTTACATATAAGGTTATGTGCAAAGTATATTAGGAAACTTTTGTCCTTCCTTTATAGATTGATAAATATTGTCTTGTTAATAATTACTCTGATTATTTTTATTGTTACTTTTTAATATAACTAAGATTATTTGTTTTTTGTATTATATTTTTAATTTTAATCTTTAATTATTTCTTTTATAAGGTTTTTAAATAAATCTAATTATGATAATTAATTTTTGAAAATATTCTTTTGAATAAGACTATATATGTGGTGTAAATTATTTTGTTGTTAACTCAATTGCCAAAATTCTTAAAAATAATTGTATCAGATTCAATTATTTTATATGTTTTAATAGTAACTCAATTAATTACATCAATAATACATCAAATTGTGTCAAGTATTTACCAATTTCTACCATATATATAAATAAGATCCACAAACATTTATAGAACTTGTTTTGATTTTTTTAAAAAAGTTTACAATAAATTATGACTGATTTTTTAAGTTTATTACATAATTAATTCTCTTATTTTATTGTATTTGTTGTTATAAAAAAAGAATTGTTTTAAGTTAACTTTAGTAACTAATTAATTTTATTAATTCAGGAGTTTAAAAGTAATTCTAGCATTTTACTAATTAATTGATATCAAATTGAATAGTTTCTTGTTATATTAAAAAGAAATGATTTTTTATAATTTAATTAGTTTGATTTTAATAATTAAATAATATTTGTAAATATATAAATGCTGGTTTGATTAATATTGTATTTAAGAATAAATATAAAAATGTTTTATTTGAACAATAATTTATATATTGTTATTATTAATTTTTTTCATAATTGAAACAAAATATTTGAAAAGATCAAAAGAATTTTGGTTTTTTTTTAATCAATAATAAGTGTTTATTTTTTCTTAGTAAATACAGTGTATTGCAAAGCTTTTAAAATTTTTTATTTATTAATTACTCAAAAACTGCTAAATAAAAATTAATAAAAAATATATCAAAATAAAGCTTAAAATTTAGAGATTTTATTAATATATAATTAATAATTAATTCTTTCACCATTATTTTCAATTATTAATTCA